TACTAGCTGAGAAGCAAAGGTTTTCATTTTCGGACGCTTCACATATTTTTTTGCGGGTTTTGGGCAGATTCAAGGTTTCCTCTTCTTCTTCCCACAAGTCTCCAATAGATGTGCCAAACGTTCCTTGTTGATTGCCTTTGGCGTTTCTATAAGTGGAGTGTTTTTTGGGGTCAGAACTCAATATCATAGCATCTGGCCACATAAACAAGGAAAAATAAGAAATTCAGTGCAAAACCACTACTAATTACATGTCAAGATCATTCCATTTAAGAGTCCAGTAGTAGAAGGGAGTAATTTAGACTCAATCGCACTCCAGAAGAGATGGAAGAGCGATCGGATCTACTACTCCGGTGATCGGAGAAGGTGCCGGAATCAGTGATGGTACCTACGAAGGTGAAACCTCATCAGTTAACAGACTCATATTTTGGAATTTCGAACCGATATATTAGAAACTATAGAAAAATGAACCAGAGGAGACAGAAGAGTGACCGGATCTATTAGTCCGGTGATCGGAGAAGGTGCCTAAATCGGCGATGGTACCCACAAAGGTGAAACATCATGAGTTGAGAAACAGACTCATATTTTAGAAATTTTAATCGATTTACTAGAAACTATCAAATAACTAACCGTAACCGTAACCGATGCAGATTCTAATAAATTTTAATTGTCCAGTGGCAAAGTAGCTGCATTGTCATAGAAAACTCTCTGAGAAATCTATCGGCTGAAGAAACTTTGAGAAGTCTACAGGTTGAAAAAATTATGAGAATTGTCATTATCATAGGATTTGTCATGTAACCAATGTGCAACCAATGTGCAAGAATCAAGTTCACGTATATGAAAATGAGGAATCATAAACCAACTACCTGTCAGAGCTATATGACAATGAGGAATCAGAAACCAACTACCTGTCAAAGCCATATCATCCAAGAGAACCATAGTGGAATGGAACAATCTCGTCTCTATTCCACTCCACAGGTTTTTCTCCTCCTTTTGAGTTTCTCTGAGCTTGCTAAGCTACTCAGCTCAGAGAAACTCAAAAACAACATGTTCTCGTCGAGATCAAAGATAACAGAACAACACAATCGAAACCGAAATAAGCAATTAATGAAGATAAAAAATTCTCGTTGAGAATCAAAGCGAAAGCAATTGAAATACCGTCAACTCGAGATCTGAATTCTTCGACGGAAGTTCTTTCGTCGCCATTTTGTTCTGGAAGAAGAAAGCAAACAAGCCGGAAATCTTCGGATGGCCGAATTGTGGGGAGTGTACTACGGATCTTGAAAAATCTTGCTCAAGCGAAAACATGCATGTAACATATAACAATCGATTCCAAAACTTATATAAAACATGCAATCCCACTATCCCAGTACTTATCAAAATTCTTACATTTATATGTAAAACTATTTTGCTAAG